ACAATAATACAAATCTCATCCCGCGGCTTCCTTCAACAAGTGTATATCACGCGTCTAAATTGCTTGAAGCTTAGGGCTCTGTGTCATAAGGTCTAAATTAGATAAAGCAATTTCGCGAATATTCGGCTCGCATATTTTTCTAAACTATCGCCAGAGTCCGAACATTGGCTCGCCGCCCCGACGCGCTCGCGGCCGGTGTTTGTGCAGCTGCAGCCGGCGCACGCGCCGCTTTAGTCATTTTTTTTTGTAATGTAAAGAGCTTAAATGTTACAATTTGGAGCACTTAATGAAAACACAATGCGAGCAGGATTACATTGCAAAGTGGACAAAATATTAGATACGATTATATTTCGATTCACAATAGTTAAAGACGATTGACCTACACAGAATCTTTGGTACCAAGGTATCAAGATTCTGGTATTACCAGAATATGATTACTTATTCATAATTTCCAAATAAACGTGCCGAATTTTCATGTTTTGAATTGTGAAGGGGTCAAAAGTAACTCGAAATGGTTTCTATGTATAATCCTACTGCACACAACTGCTTTTGCGAGTTATTTTACTCTGATCGTGACAGAAGACGCTGCCGGGTGCCTAGATATGCTAAAGAATAAAAAAATACGCGTTGCCTAATCATTTACAAGGTGGTAAAGAAATTAGTTTAGGGGAAATGCACATTAAGTATGCTTTGCGGCGCTTTGCTTGTACTATAATATACGAGTAATCGGTGGGCGCCGGCGCGGTGGTGTGGTTTGGTACCTACTTGTGCCGGCGTCACTGACCGGAAATCTTAAGCTAAGTAATTTTATCTTTTTTATATCTAATTATGGATTTCCGCAAAGTAACACCTGATACTATAATTAGATTAAGTCGCTTTCCGGAAGCTTGACACAGCGTAGGATCGTTACACTTTACATAATTATTAAACATTCGGATGCCTTGTTTTGGATTTGGCATCTGCGTCACCTCTCCGCTAACCAAGTGTTGCCGATACAGCATCGGATAGATGCGCGGTAGAATCGCTAAAATGCACGATGTGATACTGCGATCGAACGTAGTCGCTAATTAACGTAATTTAGCATCAATACTGTGGCCCTTAAGGCTAAAAAATAAAGCTAAAATACCCTGGATTTTAAACTTTCGCGTTCCATTTCAATTAGCAGTCTGCTTGTGACCACGGCTGCAGCATCGCAGCCGAAACGTCAAGCCGTGAGTACATTGTATACAATGTACCTAACTCATTAATAAACGTCGCGTTAAGACACGTGTCTTAGTATATTAAATACCCTGGAGTTATACAAACCAAAGCCCAGAGGTAGAGCATCAGTACCCTTCATCTCACCAGATGGAAAGTGATTATCAGGCCAAATGGTGGAAGGAAACTTCATGGTCATGAAGTTTAAAAAAGTTACAAAACTAATGACAACTTCTAAACTACGAAAAATCGTTGAACATACAATATGGGAGTGATTCGGGTAGCCCTACTGATGCTCTACCTCTGGGCTTTGGCTTGACACTACTTTTTGGGACTACCTGTACTTATAGGATAATATTTTGAAGGATATCGTCGGGAACACGTTGTATATTTGTATATATTCTGAATATAATTAAAAATAAAGCACAAACTACATTGATTGATGTTTTAAGGCGTCTATTGCAACAGCTCTCTCAAACAATGGCTTCCGCAGAATGACAGCATCATGTCATTCTGCCGCCGCCCGCGTTTTCCTTTGACACATTTATCGATAATAAGGTTAATTNGAGCATGACATAAAGTGGTTGCTAACTAAATCGTCAATGTACAAGTGTGTTAGAATTTTTATCACCACTGATTTCGATATCGCAGTAACTGTTACGGCACTGAATTCGTTCGTAAAAATGTTTAGTTTTTTTTATTTATAAGCTAAATACCAATGGATTTGCAATACTTACATGTAGTAAATGACTCCATTGTTCCTGTAGTTCTTCGTTTCACTTGTTTTATTGCACGTAACGACGCATTATCCAAAATATCGGAGAACATTTCCTTAGTACGACTGAATCGCAACTGACCTAGCTACGCGGCCGATGTTCGTTTCTGGGCATATCGCGGAGACACGCGCCACGCCCCCGTTTCACATCTATTCCCTTCTATGATCTGAGCTAGATATGCTAAAGAATAAAAAAATACGCGTTGCCCAATCATTTACAAGGTGGTAAAGAAATTAGTTTTGTAGGGGAAATGCACATTAAGTATGCTTTGCGGTGCTTTGCTTGTACTATAATATACGAGTAATCGGTGGGAGCCGGTGGTGTGGTTTGGTACCTACTTGTGCCGGCGTCACTGACCGGAAATCTTAAGCTAAGTAATTTTATCTTTTTTATATCTAATTATGGATTTCCGCAAAGTAACACCTGATACTATAATTAGATTAAGTCGCTTTCCGGAAGCTTGACACAGCGTAGGATCGTTACACTTTACATACCTAATTATTAAACATTCGGATGCCTTGTTTTGGATTTGGCATCTGCGTCACCTCTCCGCTAACCAAGTGTTGCCGATACAGCATCGGATAGATGCGCGGTAGAATCGCTAAAATGCACGATGTGATACTGCGATCGAACGTAGTCGCTAATTAACGTAATTTAGCATCAATACTGTGGCCCTTATGGCTAAAAAATAAAGCTAAAATACCCTGGATTTTAAACTTTCGCGTTCCATTTCAATTAGCAGTCTGCTTGTGACCACGGCTGCAGCATCGCAGCCGAAACGTCAAGCCGTGAGTACATTGTATACAATGTACCTAACTCATTAATAAACGTCGCGTTAAGACACGTGTCTTAGTATATTAAATACCCTGGAGTTATACAAACCAAAGCCCAGAGGTAGAGCATCAGTACCCTTCATCTCACCAGATGGAAAGTGATTATCAGGCCAAAAGGTGGAAGGAAACTTCATGGTCATGAAGTTTAAAAAAGTTACAAAACTAATGACAACTTCTAAACTACGAAAAATCGTTGAACATACAATATGGGGGTGATTCGGGTAGCCCTACTGATGCTCTACCTCTAGGCTTTGGCTTGACACTACTTTTTGGGACTACCTGTAGGTACTTATAGGATAATATTATGAAGGATATCGTCGGGAACACGTTGTATATTTGTATAATATACAAATATATTATATTCTGAATATAATTAAAAATAAAGCACAAACTACATTGATTGATGTTTTAAGGCGTCTATTGCAACAGCTCTCTCAAACAATGGCTTCCGCAGAATGACAGCATCATGTCATTCTGCCGCCGCCCGCGTTTTCCTTTGACACATTTATCGATAATAAGGTTAATTTATAATCACCAAGTAAGTAATTATTGCGATAAATTTCATACTTTTACGTCAACTTTGGGTAATTATTAATAATGATAGACAATTATTAATAATCGTCAATTAATCACAGTTACGTAACATTTACACCTACACGTGTATTTAGTTGACCGCGTGCCCCTCGCGCCCTCCCTCACTGCAGGCCCGCAACCAAACCCCGACCACACTTGTGCCGCTTTACTTTCGGATTATGCCAGGGATTTGTCAAATCGCTCGATCTAAAACCCATTCAACACAATTTAAATAAGTAAATTAAATTCTAATTATTATTATTTGTAGGTAAGTTAGTTTTAGAATGTTTAATGGATAACATTATTGTGTTGTTACAGAAGCACCCGTATAGCACCACGGCGGCCTGCGAGGTGCAACCGAGTGACAGGACAGCACAGCTGTACACTATCTGCGTTACCTATGAACACTCAAAGTTTTGGTTCGTCTTTAGGAAAATAACTAAGTACCTACCTAGAGATCGGTAAATATGTTGAAAAGAAAAAAAATATTATTTTTATGTAGTGATATAATTTATTACAATTATTACACTATATTTAGTCTATACGCTATTTTTCGGAACTAAATAAAATACTAGTTTTCTTTATTCCATTTAATTTCAAGATGTAGGTACTTAAGTATTTTTGTGCTGTTAAAGAAATTTAAGAGCTTTTCATTAAAAAATTTAATTCAGTTCCTAAATACTTCAAAAAATTGTTATCATTAATGACATTATCTATTACTGCAACTCGACGCTAAAATGGCTATGATAATGTGGTATGTAACGAATAGGTTACTTACCTAATACTATTTTGAAATTTATAAGAATGTATGCAACCTACCTAGCATTTTATACAAATAAATACAGTTGTTTAATAATACTTGCTCAAATAAATGAGAGCGCTACGAGCTACGAACTGCGAACTACGAGCGACCGCACGGGCACAGGCGTTACGCGAGTAAAGAATAAAATTCGATTTCTTTACTCGGTGCTCATAGCATGTTATCTACTTGCATTATAGACTTTATTAATAGTCATTATAATTATTATGTAGTGATACTAATCGAAAATATTGTTAATTTTGTAAATTGTGTAGATCTACGATTTTGTTTCGAAAAGTTACGTTACGTTGTTGGTATATTAGTAATAAAATTAAAATAAAAGTCTAATCGTATGACGTTGTTTTATTGTATCTTAACTACTAAGAACTTAGATTCTAAAGAATGTCTGTTTTCATTTCTGATAGTGTAACTTTCAACTTTAAAAAACCAGTTAGTATTTAAAATATTATTGTATAACTGTACATCCTCTACTATAATGACTAAATTAATGGAAGAGCGTTGCTCCCTGATACAGGCTCACTAGCTTAAAAGGGCGCTACGTTCAGTAATATTAATGCACCCATTGTTATGAAATAAATTATTTATTTAAGAATTAAAAAGTCGTATTTCGTAGCTACTCCATAATAACAATGTAAAATGTTCTCACTCGATTAAGTACTTTTTCGGTTACTTATGTAACTTCTAATTAAATTGCAGATTAATAAAATTGCAGTCGTATGTGGTGTAGTGCTATAGAGAAACGGGGAGGGCCTACGATTTCGAGTGCGAATCGCGGGGCGCCACTCTCGGAGGGCGGCGCAGATGCATCGGCCCTCCGCCCTCCGCCGTATAAAGCGCGCGCGACCCTCCCGGCGCTCGCAGTCACGACCCACGTGCGCCCGCGCCGCCCTCTCGCCACACAGCATCGCGATGATCGCCGAAATCCGGTCGTTCGCTTCGGCGTCCCTGACGACGTCGCCCGCGGCGCCGCGCGCGCTGCCGCGGGGCTTCGAGTCGTGCGAGTTCACGGTGGGCGAGCTGGAGGCGGCGCTGCGGCGGCCGGGCGGCGGCGGCGGCGAGTGGCGCGCGGCGCGGCTGGGCTGCGCGGCGGGCGCGGCGGCGGCGCGGCGCGGAGCTGGCGCTGGCGGGCGCGGGCCGGCTGCGGCTGCGGCTGCTGGCCGACGCGCCGCCCGGCCGCGCGCCGCCGCTCTGGTTCGACGAGGGCGTGCTCGCCGCTCTCGACATGCCCTTCCTCACTCTGGCTAACATTAAAGGTGAGCGTTCACGAATGATACCTGGTTGGTTCGATTTCGGTACCTTCCGCTTCGAAGTTAGACCGTGTTTGAAACCCGTCACTCTGTTGACCTGTCGGATGACCACGGTAATAATGAGGATATCGTCTATCGTCGTTAAAGGGAGGCCTGACCCACAGTAGCGTCAAATAGGACTCAATTATTTATTGCATCCATAATGTTACAGAGGTGATATGGTATTATTTTAAGATACAATTATGGACCCTGTCGGAAACAGCATTTTAGGACCTTTTTCTTCTTTCGTACGTCGTGTCTTGCCAGCGCTCGCTGGGTTTACGCCTACCTAGTAGACTAAGAGCTAGTGAACGCCAGACCTACGTCATTTTATAAAAACTGAAAGTTTGTCAGCGTATGCTCCCAATATAGGATAGAATGTTGGTGAATCATGAAGTTCGGGTCATCGTGGCTTTGGCAGCTATCCTAAAAAAACTGTCTGGCAAGGAGTTGGAACTGTCAAAACTGTCTGGCTGATGAGGAAACTACTTCTAATTATTGCCCTAATATTTTATATAAAAATCAGCTTTTATATGGTTTAAAGTAAGCCTAACTTTTACGGTGGCTTTTTCTGTATATTCAATAGACTGTAATTCTACTTACTATACCATAAAATCTCATTTTTATGTATAATATTTGGGCAATGATTACAAGTTGTTTCCACATCAGCCAGACAGTTTTGACAGTTCCAACTCCTTGCCAGACAGTTTTTTTAGGATAGCTGCCAAAGCCACGATGACCCGAATTTCATGATTCACCAACATTCTATCCTATATTGGGAGCATACACTGACAAACTTTCAGCTTTTATAAAATGACGTAGATCTGGCGTTCACCAGCTCTTAGTCTATAGGTCTGATAGTCACTGACTATAAAGCACACTTAAGACCAGACCAGCGTAATACTAGGGAAGCGCGGCGAAGAGAAAAGAAGAAAATAATTTAAACAAAACCCAATTTTATGTCATACGGTTGGAAATGATAAACCAATGCTAAAAATTTGCAAACGGTTCGCAAGCGCCCTTGAAACTGACACAGCTTCGCCCGGTGACATGCACTCGAGGATTCCTGCGCTCCCAGTAAGCGAGCGAGTAGATCCGTTTGTTCAGTGTTGTCAACCTGTGCTGTGGGTCGCGAACCCCCAATGGGTCGCGGAGCCTTTATAGGGGTCCCCAGGGGGTCGCGAGAGGTCGAAAAACTAGCTCTGTTAAAAAAAAAAAGTTATAAAGGTAGATTTTGGACCATTTCGTAGTCTTTCGTAGCTGGCTACGAAGTGGGAAATAAATCCCATTTCAAAGCTGGCTTCATACTGACAAGTTTCGAAATGGGATGTTTTTCCCACTTAGGTATTGAGGACACGCGAAAATGGTCGACTCCTGTCATGAATAAGGTTAAAAAAGTAAAAAAAACTAAAACCCAACTACGACAAAAAACGACGCTGTAAAAGTATAAAACAAGATTTTCAGAATACTGAACTAAACAAAGTTGCTAATGTAGTTGCATAGTAATTTTCATGTTTGGAAAACCGCAGTCACACGTTATCAAAGTGCTACGGTAGGTAGGTATATGTAACGTGTGACTACGCCTTTCCAAACATGAAAATTACTATGCAACTACATTAGCAACTTTGTTCAGTTCAGTATTCTGAAAATCTTGTTTTATACTTTTACAGCGTCGTTTTTTGTCGTAGTTGGGTTTTAGTTTTTTTTACTTTTTATTTATTATTTGTACTATTTTGGTGTTAAAGTGTATTTGTGGCGCATAATATTAACAAAAGTTAAATTGATAAACTAATAAGTAGTAAAGAAGCTATGAACGAAAAGATGTGAATTATATGCAATCAGCCCATGAATACAGGTAAAGTCACAAGCAAATGCTAGTAATATATATATATTCAAAATGTACAAGTAAAGCGCTTTCAAATGATACCAAACACGGCATATTTATCTTAACTTTATTTTTTTACTCTGTATGTTTTGTCCGCTAGAGGGCGCCACATTAGATTTTGTGAAACCCCATATAGCCTATAACCAGCGGACAATTAAGACGCTTCTAATGATATGTCATTTTTCGAATTCTGTTCTGATAAGTAGTTTAGAAGTTACGAGGGAACAGATGAACATACATACATACCTACATACATACATAGCCTGTCAAAATCATAACCCTCCTTTTGCTTTGCCGTAGTCGGGTAAAAAACACTGCGTTAGTTGAACTAAAACAACAAAAACATGACAAGCTCCTTTGCTTTTTGGCGTAGTGACTGACGCCCGTATTCACAAACATTACTACGAGGTGGTGGACGCACAGGGTGACACACACGAACTAATCAGAGCTTTATTCAACGCTGTGCGTTCCATTTGCTGCTTCACTTAAGCAAGCTTCGTTTGTGAATACGGGTGTGAGTGTCTGAGTGCCCACAGCGACGGGCACTAATAATGTGGATGACGGACATTTAGTGAATTTTACATTCTTCTAGGCGGACGGAGCTACGCGTGCCACGAGTGCGGCGCTCTATTCGAACGCCCCAACCCGCTGAAATTGCACCTGTTTCTGGCGTGCGGCGCGCACGACGCGGCCGCGGTGTGGCGCCGCGCGCTGCCGCTGCTGGCGCGGCGCCTGCAGCCCGCGCGCGAGGACGCCGCTCGCGAGCCCGACGCCGCCCGCGAGGACGCCGCCCGCGAGCCCGACGCCGCGCGCCTCGAGGCGCTGGCGGCCGCCTGGGGGCGCGCGCGCGGCGGCCACGTGTGCGTGTACTGCGGCAAGCTGTACTCGCGCAAGTACGGCCTCAAGATACACATCCGCACGCACACCGGCTACAAGCCGCTGCGCTGTCGCTACTGCCTGCGCGCGTTCGGCGACCCCAGCAACCTGAACAAGCACGTCCGCCTGCACGCGGGCGCGGGCGCGGCGGCGGGCGCGGGCGCGCACGCGTGCGGCGTGTGCGGCAAGCGGCTGGTGCGGCGCCGCGACCTGGAGCGCCACGTGCGCGCGCGCCACGCGCTGTGTGCCGTCCCGTAGCCGCATCGGAGCAGATAACAGGTGACATGGACGTTTGGAAACGATCTTCGATCGGCTGAGAGAGACGCCACACGGGCGTTGATGTATGAGCCGCCGCTGTAGTACCACTGCGCACCGCAACGCAATGTCGACGCCCGTGCGTGTGGCATCTCTTTGAGCCTTGTATATGTGTTACCTAGTCTGGTCCCGATGTAAATCTGATCAGTAAAGAAAGTGAACCTCTAAACCAAAAGCCTACATAAAGTACACCTATTTAAAGTGGCTGGAGAAGTCTCAGACGGACATGTATAAAGAAGGGAAGAAGTATAATTTGTATAAAATAGAATTATCAATTTTCTTATTTCTAAATGCCAAATTACCTAGGCCCGATTCGACCAAACTTTTATCCGAGAATTCAAATTCAAAATAATTCAGTATAGTTACAGAGTGGAAACGATAAGTGATCTCACTCGATTATTTATAAACTATACAAGATATCAAAAAACTAGTTACTGATCCTGAAAGTGCTTCATGAGATCTATCAAACGGTATCAATAAATTTAATAGGTTACAGAATGAACTGGATCTATCCGAAAATCGATGTTTACAGCTTCCATACATTTGGTAAAGCCACATAATATTAAAAACTACACAAGATATCGTAAAACTGGTTAGGTACTGATTCGAAAAGTGCTTCACGTCACGAGCTCTAACGATATCAGCAATAGGTTACAGAATAAACTGTACCTATCTATCCAAAAATTCAAATTAATAGTCATAGCACTCATTGATAATATTTATAGAGAGTAAAGCCTAAAACTAATGTCTCCCATAAATAATTTTAAATAACAATACAAATTACGAGTTTAAATAATACCCTTACAATACAAATACAGGGATGTTATGGATATTCGTATTACCGTAACCGAAACTTTCGGATATCAGAAATAAAAAAATATCCGAAACCGTAATCGATTGAAAAGTTTCGGATGTAGGCAGTTTCAATTGTTTTATGTATAGAATTATGCAAAGGCTTAATAGGCCAGTAGAATTAAACACAAAAATGAATTAAATCGGAAATAATTCCGACTAAAGATTTTAGTGCTTTAATGGCTTCATATTAGTTGCCCATAAAGACTCTCCTAGGTTTTCGACTTCGACGGAGTTGTGCTTAAGTGGTGGGGGCCCCCGAAAGGGGCGCTTTTTCGGTTTTTCGGTTATACCGCGTAAAGGACTTACCCTATCGAAAAGTGGTCTTCCTGACAGTTGAAGAGCATTTAATCCTGCATTAAATAAGACCAAATTCATATGTTTTGAACAAACCGTTCTCGTGCAAATGTTCGGCAAAGTAGAAAATATGTATGTGTATAATTAATAACCCTCTCCACGTCCAATGGCTCGTTACCCGCAGGCTTCCAAGTCTTGAAAAGGAGCGACTCAACCAGTGTAACCCTATCAAGGCTTACGAGCTGGATGCGCCTATCCTTATCCTATCGTCCAAGCCATTCCTTAACTGCGGTTGCTGCACCTCTTCCTGGCACTCACCTGAACGACTCTGTGTTACCTACTGTAGCTGCCCCTCTTCCTTGTATCGTCCTGCGCGACTACGTTGCCTAGCCGTATGCCTGGTCTAAGGTTCGACGCCAAAAATCAACAACAACATGTTCATATTAAAACGCTGAAGAGTTTTTTGTTTGTTTGAACGCGCTAATCTCAAGAATTACTAGTTTGATTGAAATAATTATTTTTGTGTTGAATAGCTCATAAATTGAGGAAGGCTATAGGATATAAACAATCACTCTACGACTAATAGAAGCGAAGCAGTAAAGAAAAATGTTGCAAGCACGGAAAATAGTATTTAAACTATTTTCACGCGTACGAAGTTGATTTTGTGGCGTCAAAGCTTGGACCAGGCATATGGCTAAGCAATGCAATCGTACAGGAGAGTACAAGGAAGAGGGGCAGCCATATTAGGTAACACAAAGTCGTTCAGGAGAGTGCCCGGAAGAGGTGCAGCAACCGCAGTTAAGGAACGGCTGGGAGCCTGGGACGAACAAGGATAAGCGAATCCAACTCGTGAGCCTTGACAGGGATACGCTGGTTAAGGCAACCTTTTACATGGCTTGGGAGCCTACGGGTGAAGAGCTATTAGACGTAGAGAGGTTCATTAATTAATCAATCTCAAGTTGCATTCGAAAGCACAGATATCCGTAACCGTAACTTTCGGATACCTTTCCGAAATAAAAAATATCCGTAACCGAAACCGGTATAATATTATTCCTATATCCGTAACCGTATCCATAACCGAAACTACATATCCATAACATCCCTACTTCTAATATTGTGTGGCTGGCATACATTTAGTATGGAAACTGGAAACCTATAATTTTCGGATAGTTTTTTTTATGCATAACATAAGTTAGTTTATTCTGTAACCTATTTATTTGGTACCATTTGAAAGAGCTCGTGAAGCACTTTCAGGATCAGTCGTGATGTGCCCGGACAATCTTAGTATGCCGACACTTCATGGTCTGCCCATCTTATACCAGCCATATTATACAGGGTGGCCAGGGAGTTAACGTTCAAAGCTGATATTTAAATTTCTAGCATCAAGGTGTAAATCACCCCTATGTATGTTCTACGATTTAGGTAGTAATTTTGTGATTCATCCTTAACCATCACCTAGGTTCTTAATTAGAAATAATGATTGATATCCCAAGGCAACCACGTGGGAATGTGTCTGATTGAAAATGTGTCCCGTTGAAATTGTGTCTCGTTGGAACCAAATCTTTTATTGTTTTCATTGAATGTTCCAATCTCTATGAACCTTTAAATTTATAGTGCACTTTAGAGGACCTTCGGTCGATAATAGTTGGTCATGTTGGTAGGAAAAATCGTAAAACGTTTATTAAAACAAAAACTACAAATAATAAAACGACTCATAGACATACATAATGCATATTTTAAGACATTTTGTATTTAGCATTACTGAGGCGGGAGAGTTGTTCGTATTGCATGGTAGGCCAGTAAACACGAAAATGAATTAAATCGGAAATAATTCCTACTAAAGATTTTAGTGCTTTAATGGCTTCATTAGTTGCCCATAAAGACTCTCCTTGGTTTTCGACTTCGACGGAGTTGTGCTTAAGTGGTGGGGGCCCCCGAAAGGGGCGTTTTTCGGTTTTCCGCTTATACCGCGTAAAGGACTTACCCTATCGAAAAGTGGTCTTCCTGACGGTCGAAGGGCATTTAATCCTGCATTAAATAAGACCAAATTCATATGTTTTGAACAAACCGTTCTCGTGCAAATGTTCGGCAAAGTAGAAAATATGTTTATAATTAATGACCCTCTCCACGTCCAATGGCTCGTTACCCGCAGGCTTCCAAGTCTTGAAAAGGAGCGCCTTAACCAGTGTAACCCTATCAATGCTTACGAACTGGATGCGCCTATCCTTGTTCATCCCAGCCGTTCCTTAACTGCGGTTGCTGCACCTCTTCCTGGCACTCACCTGAACGACTCTGTGTTACCTACTGTGGCTACCCCTCTTCCTTGTATCCTCCTGGACGACTACGTTGCCTAGCCGTATGCCTGGTCTAAGGTTCGACGCCAAAAATCAACAACAACAAGTTCGTATTAAAACGCTGAAGAGTTTTTCAACCGACTTCAAAAAAGGAGGAGGTTCTCAATTCGACCCGTATGTTTTTTTTTTTCTATGTTTGTTACGCGATAACTCCGCCAATTATGAACCGATTTGAACAAATCTTTTTTCGGCGTATAGGTAATACCTCAAGGGTGGTCCCATTTAAATTTAATAATAAAAAAACAACCCCCAAGGGTGGAAAATTGGGGATGAACTTTTTTATACGCAATATCTCCGCCGATTATAAACCAATTTGAACGATTATTTTTTTGTTGAATAGGTATTATCAAAAGGGTGGTTTCATGCGAATTTGAAGAAAATATTTCACCCCCAAGGGTGGAAAATTGGGGATGAACTTTTTTATACGCAATATTTTTAATTTTTAGTTTTTTTTTTGTGTTCACGCATTTGAAGTCGGTTTTATTTTTTTTAAAAGTTAATTATTGTTTGTTTGTTTGAACGCGCTAATCTCAAGAATTGCTAGTTTGATTAAAATAATTATTTTTGTGTTGAATAGCTCATAAATTGAAGAAGGCTATAGGATATAATATACAATCACTCTACGACTAATAGAGGCGAAGCAGTAAGGAAAAATGTTGCAAGCACGGAAAATAGTATTTAAACTATTTTCACGCGTACGAAGTTGATTTTGTGGCGTCGAACCTTGGACCAGGCATATGGCTAAGCAATGCAATCGTACAGGAGAGTACAAGGAAGAGGGGCAGCCATATTAGGTAACACAAAGTCGTTCAGGAGAGTGCCCGGAAGAGGTGCAGCAACCGCAGTTAAGGAACGGCTGGGACGAAAAAGCATAAGCGAATCCAACTCGTGAGCCTTGACAGGGATACGCTGGTTAAGGCGACCCTTTACAAGGCTTGGGAGCCTACGGGTGACGAGCTATTGGACGTGGAGAGGGTCATTAATTAAACACAAATTTTCTACTTTGCCGAACATTTGCACGAGAACGGTTTGTCCAAAACATATGAATTTGGCCTTATTTGATGCAAGACTTAATTGCCCTTCAACCGTCAGGAAGACCACTTTTCGATAGAGTAAGTCCTTTACGTGGTATAACCGGAACCTTTTGTACCCTTTGCACCACCGGCCTGCACCACTGGTGGTGCAAAGGGTATTTTTTAATCCCTTTTACACCACCAATAGTGCCGCCCTACCATTAACTGTAAAACGATTATCTATAATCATATAATATTAATATTATAAAGAGGAAAGGTTTGATTATTTGTTTGTACTGAATAGGCTCCGAAACTACTGGACAGATTTTGACAACATAACATAAAAATTAATAACAACCATTCATACCTACATACAACGAATAATATTCCTAAAGTACCAGGGCAACATAATCATAAAGGAGCTATA